CAAAATCTCACGATACATGGCCCCATTCATTCTTTCCTTTACACGGATCAGTCGTCCTGGTCCCTTTGCAGAAAAACAGCCCAAAAGCATGATGTTTCCACCCCCATGCTTCACAGTAGGTATGGTGTTCTTTGGATGCAACTCAGTATTCTTTGTCCTCCAAACATGACGAGTTGAGTTTTTACCAAAAAGTTATATTTTGGTTTCATCTGACCATATGACATTCTCCCAATCCTCTTCTGGATCATCCAAATGCACTTCAGACGGGCCTGGACATGTACTGGCTTAAGCAGGGGGACACGTCTCGCACTGCAGGATTTGAGTCCCTGGCGGCGTAGTGTGTTACTGATGGTAGGCTTTGTTACTTTGGTCCCAGCTCTCTGCAGGTCATTCACTAGGTCCCCCCGTGTGGTTCTGGGATTTTTGCTCACCGTTCTTGTGATCATTTTGACCCCACGGGGTGAGATCTTGCGTGGAGCCCCAGATTGAGGGAGATTATCAATGGTCTTGTATGTCTTCCATTTCCTAATAATTGCTCCCACAGTTGATTTCTTCAAACCAAGCTGCTTACCTATTGCAGATTCAGTCTTCCCAGCCTGGTGCAAGTCTACAATTCTGTTTCTGGTGTTCTTTGACAGCTCTTTGGTCTTGGCCATGTGGAGTTTGGAGTGTGACTGTTTGAGGTTGTGGACAGGTGTCTTTTATACTGATAACAAGTTCAAACAGGTGCCATTAATACAGGTAACGAGTGGAGGACAGAGGAGCCTCTTAAAGAAGAAGTTACAGGTCTGTGAGAGCCAGAAATCTTGCTTGTTTGTAGGTGACCAAATACTTATTTTCCACCATAATTTGCAAATAAATTCATAAAAAATCCTACAATGGGATTTTTTTGGATATGTTTTTCTCAATTTGTCTGTCATAGTTTACGTGTACCTATGATGAAAATTACAGGCCTCTCTCATCTTTTTAAGTGGGAGAACTTGCACAATTGGTGGCTGACTAAATACTTTTTTTCCCCACTGTACACCCTATGTTGGCAATGGTCAAACGTTTTCTGTAAGTCTTCACAAGGTTTTCACACACTGTTGCTGGTATTTTGGCCCATTCCTCCATGCAGATCTCCTCTAGAGCAGTGATGTTTTGGGGCTGTCGCTGGGCAACACGGACTTTCAACTCCCTCCAAAGATTTTCTATGGGGTTGAGATCTGGAGACTGGCTAGGCCACTCCAGGACCTTGAAATGCTTCTTACGAAGCCACTCCTTCGTTGCCCGGGCGGTGTGTTTGGGATCATTGTCATGCTGAAAGACCCAGCCACGTTTCATCTTCAATGCACTCCTGAGTGGCGCAGTGGTCTAAGGCACTGCATCGCAGTGCTAACTGTGCCACTAGAGATCCTGGTTCGAATCCAGGCTCTGTCGCAGCCGGCCGCGACCGGGAGACTCATGGGCGGCGCACAATTGGCCCAGCGTCGTCCAGGGTAGGGGAGGGAATGGCCGGCAGGGATGTAGCTCAGTTGATAGAGCATGGCGTTTGCAACGCCAGGGTTGTGGGTTTGATTCCCACATGGGGCCAGTATAAAAAATATATGTATTCACTAACTGTAAGTCGCTCTGGATAAGAGCGTCTGCTAAAATGACTAAAATGTAAAACAAATGCGCTTGCTGATGGAAGGAGGTTTTCACTCAAAATCTCACGATACATGGCCCCATTCATTCTTTCCTTTACACGGATCAGTCGTCCTGGTCCCTTTGCAGAATAACAGCCCCAAAGCATGATGTTTCCACCCCCATGCTTCACAGTAGGTATGGTGTTCTTTGGATGCAACTCAGCATTCTTTGTCCTCCAAACACGACGAGTTGAGTTTTTACCAAAAAGTTCTATTTTGGTTTCATCTGACCATATGACATTCTCCCAATCCTCTTCTGGATCATCCAAATGCACTCTAGCAAACTTCAGACGGGCCTGGACATGTACTGGCTTAAGTAGGGGGACACGTCTGGCACTGCAGGATTTGAGTCCCTGGCGGCATAGTGTGTTACTGATGGTAGGCTTTGTTACTTTGGTCCCAGCTCTCTGCAGGTCATTCACTAGGTCCCCCCGTGTGGTTCTGGGATTTTTGTTATCATTTTGACCCCACGGGGTGAGATCTTGCGTGGAGCCCCAGATCGAGAGAGATTATCAGTGGTCTTGTATGTCTTCCATTTCCTAATAATTGCTCCCACAGTTGATTTCTTCAAACCAAGCTGCTTACCTATTGCAGATTCAGTCTTCCCAGCCTGGTGCAGGTCTACAATTTTGTTTCTGATGTCCTTTGACAGCTCTTTGGTCTTGGCCATAGTGGAGTTTGGAGTGTGACTGTTTGAGGTTGTGGACAGGTGTCTTTTATACTGATAACAAGTTCAAACAGGTGCCATTAATACAGGTAACGAGTGGAGGACAGAGGAGCCTCTTAAAGAAGAAGTTACAGGTCTGTGAGAGCCAGAAATCTTGCTTGTTTGTAGGTGACCAAATACTTATTTTCCACCATAATTTGCAAATAAATTCATAAAAAATCCTACAATGTGATTTTCTGGAGAAAAAAAATCTCAATTTGTCTGTCATAGTTGACGTGTACCTATGATGACAATTACAGGCCTCTCTCATCTTTTTAAGTGGGAGAACATGCACAATTGGTGGCTGACTAAATACTTTTTTTCCACACTGTACTTATTATGAACACAGTATGCTTTACATTAGTTATCTTGTTGTTATTAGTTGTTGTTAGTTGTTATTAGTCCCATCCTTCAGCTCCATTCAACCCCTCCCATCTATCTCTTAACACCATCCATATTGGATTTCTATTTGCCATATATTTTTCAACTGTACTGTGATGTTTCATAAAAGTTCTGAACCCTTCCATTCTCGTTGTTTCTACAGATTGTAAATTGAAAATAAACATTTTTGCTAAAAGTATTATTATATTATTGATTGATTGACTATGACTTTTCAGATCACCCAGTAGTGCTATCTGCAGGGTTAGCTCCAGGCAAATATTGCAATCCTTCAGCCATTCCTAGACCTGTGATCAAAAACAAGCTACAAATGGACAGTACCAAAACAAATGATCTAATGATTCTGTCTCTTCGCAGCAAAATCTGCAGAGCTGGGAAGATTGTATCCCCAATATATATAACATTCTATTGGTAGCAAGAATTTTGTATAATAATTTAAATTGAAAAATTCTAAGTTTTGAGTCCGGTGTCGTTTTGCGTATCAGTTCATAAACCATTTGCCATGGAATCGGTACGTCAAAAATCTCTTCCCAACTATTTTGCAATCTATATGGGATGGCTGTCAATCCTTTGGTCCTTAAATGAAGCTAGTATACTTTTTTATTTATCACAATTTTCTTTAACCAATTATGGGCTTTAATGCAAGGCAGACAGACAAGTTCCTTACTTTTTCCCCCTTCCACTTTCCTTTTCCATTTTTGCGGTAATGCTGCAATTATTTGGTTGTAATTTTGGGTAGAGCAGACATTTCCATATGTTTTTGTTAGCTGCATGTGCAACATAACTCCACCATGATATCATTTACGAAGATTATACCTTTTTTTTATTATAAATTTTGTTCTGTCATTTCTGGAGGATTACATTGCAATTGCAACCAACTTTCTATGGCATGTTTTAGAAATAGTGATATTTGGGAGATTATTTCCTTTTCAAATGACTGAAAGTGAGAGGTTGTAATCTGAATAAAGGGAAAAAAGGCCATTCTTGAACATGGGGTGAGACAATCTTACTAATTTGCTAGAGAACCAGTTCGGATTTAAGTATAACTTTTGTATGACTGAAGCTTTTAGTGATAGGTCTAATGCTTTAATATTTAATAATTTATGTTCCCCGAATTCATATTCATTATATAAATAGGCCCGTTTAATTTTGTCTGGCTTGCCGTTCCAAATAAAATTCGACATTTTATTCTCATATAATTTCAAAAACTGTTCACAAGGCGTAGGCAAGACCATAAGCAAATAGGTAAACTGGGATATTACTAAAGAGTTACACTGTAATGTACATGTTTTGTTTTTTAGTGATCCAATACGCGGAAGCTGCTTTCGTTCTCCCACTGTTTGAAATGCCCTGATAGAATGGAGGAAAAGAGTCTCTTTTCTCCAAAGAAAAAGTGTGGAATGTTAAGAATTCAATTTTTTTAATTGCTTTTTCCCAATCGGTATTTAGCCTCTGGGTAAACTCTCTAGGGTCAGAGGTCACCATAAAGCAGAACCTGGTAACTTGGTATCTGGGCCCTTAGCTGTAATCCAGCCAGGGTTACTCCCAAGCAATTAAGATGTTCAAATGTATAGGCTACTTTGACCCGAGTGGTCTCAGCTCTGATCGAATGTTTTGACCAGGGTCCCGGAACACTTGGAGAACAAACAGATAAGCAAGAGTATTTATGCCTGCCTGTCCTTGAGGAGGTTGGCAGATTGCTATGAACCTCTCAGAAGAACATGTCTGTCTCCCCATATGTTTGTCTATTAAACCTTTAAATATAGAAGTCGTTCGCCTTCTGTTTGGGTACAGCTTTTTTCACACCTTGAGCAAATCAATTATTCCTGACAGCTACATTTTTCTACACTGTGGCATTATCCACAATCAGAGGAGAATAAGACCAATCTTTCAAGACATTTTTGTGTGAACAGGTAAGCAATTTTTTTCCAGTAAAAATAACCAGCGAAAATATAAAAATATTCAAACGCGTTATTGTAACTTTAAAAGCAACAATGACTATGGTTGAGATTCATTATTACAACACATTCTTTTTCAAATACTTTCCCCCCTTGTAAACTGATCTTGAAAATGATAGCACAATTAATGTTAGTTGTATACTGTACACAGTATATTTGCATGTTTGCATATTATTTTGATAGGCTGGAAGTAACATGCTTGTTCATCTGCCCTAACTCACTTCTCCTTCTTTTTTGTATCACTCACAAGGTTTGGTCTGAAAGAGGGGAATGAGGATCAATCTTTCAACTGTATTCTTTGTGTCTGGGCTGTGTATAGGATTTCTGTCTATCCAATACTTTGTATACTCAGACCCTAGCATTGCAGACCCAGCTGTTCTCTCACTGGGTAACTCCAGTGGAGTTCAGTATGACAGGGGGGTTCCAAGACACATACACTCAGGTAATTAATTATGACTTATTATTGATAATAAATTACAAAATGCTGTAATCTATTTTTTATTACAATGTAATATAATTCAGTTATCAAAAACGAATGTAATCAAAACAACTAGGTTATTGGGTCTCTTTCCTCTTGCTATGGAGATGTACACAGAGTGTACATTATGAACACCTGCTCTTTCAATGACATAGACGGACCAGGTGAATTCAGGTGAAAGCTATGATCCCTTATACGGTTACATAAACATCTGAAATCAGGCTACCTGATGGCACTCTAATAAATGCAGAAAATCGCCAATCAAAAGAAACGTTCTACCACAGCGACCTTGTAATTTTTGGGAAGTGTCTTTGATTCTGAGTTTTGACGTATAAAGTTTGTATATGAAAACTACACTACATTGTGGGGGTATAACTCAATATTAGGAAGGTGTTCTTAATGTTTTATGCACTCAGTGTAAGTGTAATCCAGCCTTAAGTCTAAGTAGAAGTTGTTGTTTTTTACCCTGGAGTTGTATTGGATGTGTGTGAGAGAATCTTCAAACATCAGTGATTCCTGAAGGCATTGTGATTCCAAGAAGCCGGTGGGTTAGAGAGCACAGTGCTGGAAACACTAGGGGTTTGATATCAGGGTTTAGGTAAATTCCATTTCAATTCCAGTCAATTCAGAAAGTAAACCAAATTCCAATTCCAATTCAAAATGTTCCTAATTGAAAAGCATTGGAAGATAATTGGAATTGGAGTTGGAATTTCATTGTACTTCCTGAATTGACTGGAATTGAAATGGAATTGACCCCAAACCTTCCACATATTGTACTGAATACGTGTCACAACCAAACATTTTGGATAAGTGCCTCTGCTACATCAGGGGTTCCCAAACTTTTCACTCAGGCCCCACTTCCAGCATTGGGGTACATCCCGCGGTCCCCCTGTGCCACGCCTATTTCTATGGGCACAAGCACTGTTCATGACACAAACTGTTCACACCGCTCTTGTTGGCAGAGAGAACATTTTGCAGGTTTAAAACTTATTTCCTGCAATTCTACACATTTTGTCATGGGGTGCAAAGAAAATGTTGCAGTTTTAAAGCAAATTGTCTTGCAATTCTGTACTTTTTGCCATGCCTAATGTGTTTTCATGTGATATTTGAGTGACTCGAACATCTAATCTATGGGCTAAAAAACCTAGCTAAAAAACATTAGTTGACGTGGGCTATAGAAATAGCTCTCTAAGGTAGGCAATGACTGACATGACAAGAGGAAAACTGATGATGTACTACCCAATTTCAAAATTGCACCTTGTGCATTCTACTATTACAACTTTCAAAAGTAAGTTGAAAGCCAGACTGAGTTCAGGGTGGCCGACCCCTCAGTTTGGGAACCACTGTGCTAAATGACTACAATTTTCATGAATTATCTTTAAATGATCTCTTCCAGATGAGGACGGGAGTGTGGCAGCCAACCTGTCCCAGAAGGTGCGTCTGCTATGTTGGATCATGACTGGGCCTAAGAACCTGGAGTCTAGAACCAAGCATATCCGGGCCACCTGGGCCAAGCGATGCAACAAAATCCTCTACATGAGTTCAGTGGAGACAGAATTCCCCACGGTGGGGCTCAACGTAACTGAGGGACGAGCCCAGCTCTACTGGAAGACCATCAGAGCCTTCCAGTACATCTACCAACATCACCGCAATGACTACGACTGGGTCTTCAAAGCTGATGATGACACGTTCGTGGTCATCGAAAACCTCTGCTACACCTTGTCCAAACAGGACCCGGAGAAGCCTGTGTACTTTGGGCGAAGGTTCCGCCCGTTCGTCCACCAGGGTTACATGAGTGGTGGCGCCGGCTATGTCCTCAGTAAAGAAGCCGTCAGAAGGTTCATCGAGGGATTCGAAACGGGGAAATGTACCCACTTCTCCATCATAGAAGACATGGCTCTGGGGAAGTGTATGGAGACAATGGGTGTGGAGCCAGGGGACTCCAGAGATGTGAAGGGAAGGCAGACGTTTCATCCCTACCCACCAGACAAGTACCTGATCAAAAAGCCACCCAGAAAACGGCCTTGGTTTCTCTCCTACGACTACTACAAACCCAGAGAGGTAAGCATAGCCTACCCCTAATCAACTGTTCACTTACGTCAAGTATACTCATACCATTCTATACTATTCAATTCTATTCTCAACTCTCTGTGTGGTTGTGATGCTCTCTCAATCATGTGTATTATGGGAGAGTTGTCATAGGTGCTTAGGGTTTGGCATTCACAGTGTTATGACTGACTAGCTAAAGTCAATCTTTACTCATGGATTTACTCATGGCTTTGTACTTATTATAAGTAAGTAGCCTTGCACAAGCCTTGGTTTGTGTGAGCCAGGAAGGCTTATAGGAGCAGGAGCCTATATCTTGTTTCTGTAGCGTGAGGCAGCTTGATGTACAAGTACACCCCCTGGACAGGACGCTAGTCTATCGCAGAGCCTTATATACTACACAAAATATAAACGCAACATGTAAAGTGTTGGTCCCATATTTCAGTAGCTGAAATAAAATATCCCCAACATTTTCCAATAGCACAAAAAGCTTATTTCTCTCAAATGTTGTGCAAAAATGTGTTTACATCCCTGTTAGTGAGCATTTCTCCTTTGCCAAGATAATCCATCCACCTGACAGGTGTGGCATATCAAGAAGTTGATTAAACAACATGATCATTACACAGGTGCACCTTGTGCTGGGGACAATAAAAGGGCACTCTAAAATGTGCAGTTTTGTCACACAACACAATGCCACAGTTGTCTCAAGTTTTGAGGGAGTGTGCAATTGGCATGCTGACTGCAGGAGTGTCAGCCAGAGCTGTTGCCAGATAATTTAATGTTAATGTCTCTACCATAAGCTGCCTCCAACGTCATTTTAGAGAATTTGGCAGTACGTCTAACCAGCCTCACAACCGCAGACCATGTGTAACCACGCCAGTCCAGGACTTCCACATCTGGCTTCTTCACCTGCGGGATTGTCTGAGACCAGTCACCCGGATAGCTGATGAAACTGTGGGTTTGCTCAATCAAAGAATTTCTACACAAACTGTCAGAAACCATCTCAGGGAAGCTCATCTGCGTGCTCATCGTCCTCACCAGGGTGACTGCAGTTCGGCGTCGTAACCGACTTTAGTGGGCAAATGCTCACCTTCGATGGCCACTGGCATGCTGGAGAAGTGTGCTGTTCACGGATGAATTTAGGTTTCAACTGTACCGGGCAGATGGCAGACAGCGTGTATGGCGTCGTGTGGGCGAGCGGTTTGCTGATGTCAATGTTGTGAACAGAGTGCCCCATGGTGGAGGTGGGGTTATGGTATGGGCAGGCATAAGCTACGGACAACGAACACAATTGCATTTTATCGATGGCAATTTGAATGCACAGAGATACCGTGATGAGATCCTGAGACGCATTGTCGTGCCATTCATCCGCCGCCATCACCTCATGTTTCAGCATGATAATGCACAGCCCCATATCGCAAGGATCTGTACAAAATTCCTGGAAGCTGAACATGTCCCAATTCTTCTATGGCCTTCAAACTCACCAGAGATATCACCCATATAGCATGTTTGGGATGCTCTGGATCGACAGACGTGTACGACAGCGTGTTCCAGTTCCCGCCAATATCCAGCAACTTTGCACAGCCATTGAAGAGGAGTGGGACAACATTCCACAGGCCACAATCAACAGCCTGATCAACTCTATGTGAAGGAGATGTGTCGGGCTGCATGAGGCAAATGGTGGTCACACCAGATACTGACTGGTTTTCTGATCCACGCCCCTACCTTTTTTTTAAGGTATCAGTGACTAACAGATAGATGCATATCTGTATTCCCAGTCATGTGAAATCCATAGATTAGGGCCTAGTGAATTTATTTCAATTGACTGATTTCCTTATATGAACTGTAACTTAGTAAAATCTTTGAAATTGTTGCATGTTGCATTTATATTTTTGTTCAGTTTATAAACACTTCTAGAATGTTTTATACAGGCTTGGTACACTAACTAAACGATTATTAATATACTCAATCAGACTGTCGTTTTTCTTTCTCCCAGGGCCCAGAATGTTGTTCAGATCACACCATATCATTTCACTACATCTACAATGTACAGATGTACACACTGGAATACCTCACCTATCATCTACGGCCCTATGGATACCAGTACAGGTACAACCCTGATGCTGCAGCAACTGAAATTGAGAGTAACACAACCACACCTGTCTCTGCTAAACACAGAGATAACATAGACAGACTACTACACTGAAGAAATCACGTATTACTGTGTCATGTTTAAATGCCAGAAACAACAGCTGACCCTGCCACTTTGTTTGGTATGCTGAGCGATGAGACTGGGGAAATGACAGTTGTTCTAAGCTCATAAGGCATTTGCTATTCATTGTATAACAGTAGACTGTGCCTTTAACTGTAGGTTTGCACTACTGACCACAAGTGTCAATCATTTCCCCTGTTTATGTCATTCCAAAGTACCTATGATATTTATTCTAGCTGACGTTGCTTTTGATTTAGGCACTCTATATTTTGTATTTTATTTTATTATATATTTATTAAAACAAACAAGTTCATTCTGTTGTGTGAGCTTCACATTTTCTTCTTTGCTATTAAACAAAAGTGTTCCTTTTTTACAACTTACAGTAAAACAAAGGTTAACATGGTTTGTTAATATGAAAATAGAAGTATTTACTTTATGTCTTCTACAGGTTTCTGGAGGTCTAGCGCGATATATCACATTCAGTTTGTTAGCTAAAGATGAAACTGAGATAGAACTGGACTCAACACAGCACACACATACAGTAGATAGATAATTTTATGTCATGAGAATCCTGACCTGTGAGAATCTGTTCAGTTCACAGGTTTATGGTTTGGAAGTTATTAAGGTGTCTTTTAATGGACAATTATTTTAAGCAACACAATGGGTAAAAACAAGGGTGTGTGAAAATATAAAAAATAAAAACAGGTTGAACATTTGTACAGTACAGGGGGTGGTCACATAAAGAACATAACAGAGAATAAAGAGACAGTATACAGGTCCTCTCTGGAGCATCAGTGTAGCAGTGCTGTTGTTTGCCTGAGCTTTGGTCAAACTGTAAGTGATAGAAAGCCTATGTCACAATTCTCCACCCTTCTGCAAAGTATACACTTACACACTCCCCATCCTTGGGAGAATTGGGACGCAGCCATAGATAGATAGGAGCCCATGTCCTCAGTGCATCCCTCTGACATCATCATTGGGGAATGTGCAGGCTTTGCACACGGCCCTTCTCTCTTTAAACAAAGCACAACTGTCTGTTACGTGCGGACGCAGCCGCTCCTGCACCCGGCCTCCGACTCAAACTGGTTTCCGTTACCCTGGCAACCTCCGTACCAGAACTGGGCGCAGGAGTTGGCTTCCGGGTCGTAGTACCACCTGACCACATACTGACGACACGGCCCAGGGTCCAACGGCTGTCTGCACCCCACCACTGGAACAGACAAGAGGATTTTGTAAGAATTTTGATTCGTATTTATTTATGTTTAGGGGTAGATCAGCTTTAATATTGCAGATAGATTGTGGCTTCCATCAATGTAATTGTCTGCATCATTTCCAATCCCCCATATTTTTTGGGGTAAATATACACTACCGTTCAAAAGTTTGGGGTCACTTAGAAATGTCCTTGTTTTCGAAAGAACACAGGACTGATGGTTGCTCTTAATGGTCCTCTGTACGCCTATGTAGATATGCCATTAAAAATCAGCCGTTTCCAGCTACAATAGCCATTTACAACATTAACAATGTCTACACTGTATTTCGGATAAATTTGATGTTATTTTAATGGACAAAAAAATAGCTTTTCTTTCGAAAACAAGGAATTTTTGTAAGTGAGCCCAAACTTTTAAACGGTAGTGTATATAAATTATATATATATTTTTAAATATATTTTCCTTTATTATTTTCCCCTAACTCTTCCCATAATTGGAGTAAACTAATGGACAACAACACTTAGGCTTCTACTTCCAGCTTATATATCCACTGCTCAAAAAAATAAAGGGAACACTAAAATAACACATCCTAGATCTGAATGAATGAAATAATCTTATTAAATACTTTTTTCTTTACATAGTTGAATGTGCTGACAACAAAATCACACAAAAATTATCAATAGAAATCAAATGTATCAACCCATGGAGGTCTGGATTTGGAGTCACCCTCAAAATTAAAGTGGAAAACCACACTACAGGCTGATCCAACTTTGATGTAATGTCCTTAAAACAAGTCAAAATGAGGCTCAGTAGTGTGTGTGGCCTCCACGTGCCTGTATGACCTCCCTACAACGCCTGGGCATGCTCCTGATGAGGTGGCGGATGGTCTCCTGAGGGATCTCCTCCCAGACCTGGACTAAAGCATCCGCCAACTCCTGGACAGTCTGTGGTGCAACGTGGCGTTGGTGGATGGAGCGAGACATGATGTCCCAGATGTGCTCAATTGGATTCAGGTCTGGGGAACGGGTGGGCCAGTCCATAGCATCAATGCCTTCCTCTTGCAGGAACTGCTGACACACTCCAGCCACATGAGGTCTAGCATTGTCTTGCATTAGGAGGAACCCAGGGCCAACCGCACCAGCATATGGTCTCACAAGGGGTCTGAGGATCTCATCTCGGTACCTAATGGCAGTCAGGCTACCTCTGGCGAGCACATGGAGGGCTGTGCGGCCCCCCCCAAAGAAATGCCACCCCACACCATGACTGACCCACTGCCAAACCTGTCATGCTGGAGGATGTTGCAGGCAGCAGAACGTTCTCCACGGCGTCTCCAGACTCTGTCACGTCTGTCACATGTGCTCAGTGTGAACCTGCTTTCATCTGTGAAGAGCACAGGGCGCCAGTGGCGAATTTGCCAATCTTGGTGTTCTCTGGCAAATGCCAAACGTCCTGCACAGTGTTGGGCTGTAAGCACAACCCCCACCTGTGGACGTCGGGCCCTCATACCACCCTCATGGAGTCTGTTTCTGACCGTTTGAGCAGACACATGCACATTTGTGGCCTGCTGGAGGTCATTTTGCAGGGCTCTGGCAGTGCTCCTCCTGCTCCTCCTTGCACAAAGGCGGAGGTAGCAGTCCTGCTGCTGGGTTGTTGCCCTCCTACGGCCTCCTCCACGTCTCCTGATGTACTGGCCTGTCTCCTGGTAGCGCCTCCATGCTCTGGACACTACGCTGACAGACACAGCAAACCTTCTAACCACAGCTCGCATTGATGTGCCATCCTGGATGAGCTGCACTACCTGAGCCACTTGTGTGGGTTGTAGACTCCGTCTCATGCTACCACTAGAGTGAAAGCACCGCCAGCATTCAAAAGTGACCAAAACATCAGCCAGGAAGCATAGGAACTGAGAAGTGGTCTGTGGTCACCACCTGCAAAACCAGTCCTTTATTGGGGGTGTCTTGCTAATTGCCTATAATTTCCACCTGTTGTCTATTCCATTTGCACAACAGCATGTGAAATGTATTGTCAATCAGTGTTGCTTCCTAAGTGGACAGTTTGATTTCACAGAAGTGTGATTGACTTGGAGTTACATTGTGTTGTTTAAGTGTTCCCTTTATTTTTTTGAGCAGTGTACTAAATACATTTTACAGATACAGTATATTTTACAATAGTTATCTTTTGTTTGTTTTTAGTCCCATCCTTCAGCGCCACTCAACCCCTCCCATCTATCTCTGGACACCATCCAGTTTTGATTTCTATTTGCCATATGTTTCAACTGTGCTGTGATGTTTCACAAAAGTTCTGAACCTTTCTATTCTCATAGATTCTACTGATTCTAAATTAAAGATAAAAATTTGTGCTAAGAATATTGTTATATTATTGATCGATTGACTATTACTTTTTAAATCACCCAGCAGTGCTACCAAAACTAATGATCTAATGATTCTGTCTCTTCTCTTTGGTTTTTGTAAGACTTTATAAAGACTTCTACATCCTTATAACAAGTTAAAAGCATTACACTTGTTTTATAAATGCTTATAGGACTTTATACTTTAACACACATAGACTAACAGAGAGACAAACGGGTTAATACCATCTGTTTGTTGAAGATGTGACAACTGGTTTTGTAACATTATGACATACCATGAACAAGGAAACAGATCTGAGTCTACCATAGACAAAACATTTCTAGTGGGTGTATGGTGTAAGCAAACGTGTGAAGAAATCCATCTGTAGATAAGACGGCGGAGCTTGATAAGCCACACAAAGACAAACAATACACATGTTTGACGTGATAAAAAGTCGTCAATATGGTGTTACAAATAAATAAGATGTAATGAGGAAATCTTTCAGAATTACTTGTTCGTACAGTTCGAGATGTAACCTACATAATGTACTTTCTCAAATGGTCAATAAAAAAAAGAGACTCACCTGGTACAAAGATGTCTGGGAGTGGGGGTGGAGGTGGCTGTGTTCGGGGGGGAGGAGCCTGTGTGGTCTTGGGGACATACAGCCAGTTGGTGGGTGTCTGGGGGGTCTGGGGTCCCACCATAGAGATAACAGGGGGTTGCTGCTTCCCCCCTCTGCCCCCTGATGCTGCTGTCATGATGTCTGTGAGCTTGTTCAGGGGTACCTTGAAAACCGATGTCGTCTTGCCAGTGTCAATTTCATTCTCTTTGAAGCCGGGGGACTCTGGGGCTTGTGAGGAGGGAGGTCTCTCAGTCTCAAATATTGGTGGTCCAGGCTGGAGAGGGAGAAATATACAGTGGAAGAAATATAAAGTGACTACGCATTCCAGACATAGTGGTTGCTGTAGCGGTCATGGTAACAGACTGGATGGTAGAGTCTTAAGTAGCTTTTTAGAGTCATATGTAGTTTATTAGAGTGTAATACATAGTTGGTTAGAGTGTAATTTGTGTATTGGTAGTGGTATGATAATGTGCAATGTCTACTTTCATGTGGTTTTGTCTATTGTTTGTAATGTCTACTTTCATGTGGTTTTGTCCATTGTTTGTAATGTTTACTGTAATGTCTTAGTAAGTTCATCCCGTAAGTTCATCCTAAAAGTGTTTTCTCTTACTCTTCTGTAATCGTCCTCAAAGTCAGGTATGCCCCCCCTGTCTGGAAGCACTCTGTAAACCTCGGGGGTGGGTATGGGGTTGGGGATGAAGAGGGTTCCATCGTCCTGTTCACATATCTGATTCAGCAGCTTACTCTCCAGGGCTGTGCCAAGACACACAGTTTAAAAGACTGTAATCAACCCCAAACTCATTTCAAGCTATTAAATGATTAAATAGTCATCCAGGGAGTTTCAAAACATAGAACATCAATCATCATCAGTCATAATATAATGTAATTGGCCTGTTTCTCTAGCTAGTGTACGGGAACTCCACCACTTGGTTATTTATATAACCTTTGGTTTAAACTTTAAAGAGCGACTGAACACACCGATTGGCACGTGTGTTTTTCTGTTGCTCATTAGAAAAACGAGATTTCAGTCTTGTACATGTGTTTCCTGACCGATTCTGCATTTGGTTAATGATGTTTGTCCCCCATGAGACAGTGTAGACGTGGAAGCCTATTTCACTTCCTCAAAATCCCCAGAATGAATCTAAGATACAGTAACTCAATAAATCTGTAATTAATTTGGACATTTTTACCAAGGATGTTTTAGTTGCACAATTTTACATCTAACTAAGGTGTTTGGTGCAGTATTTCTCAAGTTAAATGCGTGACGTGTTGTCTTATGTAAACAAAGTCGGAGCTGCTGGGCAGGTCTGTCTCACAGTTTATGCTATTGGATAGAGAGCAATCACTGCAGCTATTCACCCCATGTTAGAGGGCAAATGGACATCGTCTAATCAAAACCCAACCTTCATTTACCCGTTGTGATGCACGGATGTTCCAAACTCCGTTTTAGACGAGATTGGCTTTATGACCAAAATTATCCTATTTAGACTTTGTAGTCAATTTTGAAACTAGAATAACTGTTTCTGATTTATATTGTTGACACATAGGCTGTTTTCAAAGGGATTTGTTGCTTTTTAAAGTCAGCCGTTATTTAAAATATCTTAGCATAGTAGTGATGGCAGGCATTTTCCCAAATGTCATTTTTAAACAGGCCACGCAGTGAGCATAGTTGGGATGTGATGAGACATTATCTATAACGCTTAAAGAGTTTACAATACTGCAACTATAGTGACTCCGTTTCGTGCAATGCATTTTCACACTGTTTGTTTAAACTCAAATACTTCAATTTTAAATAATCGCTGCTTTATATATTATTGTTATAAAGCAATTTTGGCACTGTTCCGTGCCAATCTACAGAAATCAAGATATCCCCTTCACAAACCCCTTAATGGGGCTCTTCATCAGTTTTGTTGGAATAGATCCCTTGTCTGTTCTTTTATCAATTTAAACATATGTATTTAGATAGGCCAGTGCCATTTGCATGGATATCATTTTGTATTGACTGCTATGAGTGTGGATGTAAATAAAACCAAAATAGAACCATATACTAGGCAGAGTCTAGCACTTCATCTAGAGTCATGAACTTCATCTAGTCTTACATATTATTATTTTTTGTCATTTAGCAGACGCTCTTATCCAGAGCGACTTACAGTTAGTGAGTGCATACATGTTTTGTTTTTTGTTTTTTTATACTGCCCCCCGTGGGAAACGAACCCACAACCCTGGCGTTGCAAGTGCCATGCTCTAACAACTGAGCTACACGGGGCCTTCATCTCGTCTTGAACTTCATTTAGAACCACATACTGGGCAGCGTCATGAAGTCATCGATCAGGTACACATGCTCCTCGTCTGGGTCGGAGGCGATAGCGATCATCTCAGATTGGAACTCTGCGTACAGCGGGTCTTTCTTATTCACCACGCCGATGACAAACATCTCAATGCCGGCGGCGTGGGCCTCCCTGGCGGCGTCCTCGGGCTGCACTGCGTCACGCCGGTCTGCCTGCCCGTCGGTTAGTACCACGGCGACTTTACGAACACCGGGCCGCGAGGCCTGGAACAGCTGGTTGGCTCTCCCAATGGCACTACCCGTAAAGGTGCCCTCCCCCATGTACGGCATCTTCCTCACTGCAGCCTGAGAGAAATTACATAGACAGATAGATAGACAGATAGATAGACAGATAGACAGACAGACAGACAGACAGACAGACAGATATATAGATACCAGGGGATGAAAGAGTGAATTTAATTAACATCATACAGAAAAAGGATACAGCAGAATAAACACAGATCTGCTTCAAGAATGTCTATGCTTTAGCTCAGAGGACTAACACAGTTGTGGCATGCAGGAGACCCGGGATTCGAACCCAGTCTGTGACAGGTACTCATCTTCTTTAAAACTACTGACCTTGACGTCGTTCTGGCTGGACTGCTGCTTCAGACTGACCACTACTATGTCCACATGACTGTAGAGGACCACACCGATCCTGCTGGCCTCACGGTTCACAGACACACGGTCAATCAGGGCATTCACAAAGTCCTTGACCACCTCGAAGTTCTCCGGTCCAACGCTCTCTGAGCTGTCAATCACAAACACCAGCTCCAGAGGACTCTCTCTGCACTTCAGACCACAGCCTGAGAACATAAACAGAGAGACCGTCTATATCAATCAATCGAATGTATTTAAAAAGTCATTTTTACATCAGCAGTTGTCACAAAGTGTTTTACAGTGACCTGGCCTAGAACCCAAAGAGCAAACAGAAGCACATTTAATTTATTCATTTTTTATCTATTTAGCAAAGGATTGTCCAGCAATAGTAACAATTGCCACTGTTTTCCAGGGAGCTCTGTGCACAGTTCCTTAGAAGGAAGAAACGTTGGCTAACACTTTAAGTCAGTAGTGTTTATGTTCTGTACACATGTATAGTCAATGAGCTGTTTTAACTCACCACAACTTTCCCTGATAATTTTGATGACTTCCTCTCTCTGTGGGTGGAACAGGAAAACATTATTAAGATATAAAAAATATGGTTGAGAGACATAACAAAGGTACCATTATGAAACAGTATGCATTTTGTGCTCTACTCACTGTCAAGCCAGGTTCCCCCTTCTCACCAGATTTCCCCTGCAAGTTTGAACACATGTTAGCAATCAACATATACATGAACCATGAAATATGTTTTTTATGGCCATGAAGGGACAAGAAGACTATCATACCATGGGTCCTGTAGAACCTGGCTCTCCAAATTCTCCCTTGTCTCCTTTCCTCCCACGGTCTCCACCAATCCCCCTGTCTCCCTGTGTACAGTGATATGACAACAGTATTGTTAAGCACATCAAGAAGAACATTTATAGTGAACAGCAAATGGTTGTGTGTGTCCGTGTTGGCATTGAACCGGTCTGTGTGTGTTTGTTTGGCAGTTACAGTCCTGTGTGGCTCAGGTTGTTGGTTCAATTCCCGCAGGGATCAAAAGCGTTCGCTACGTTTGTACCTTTTCACCTGGAAAGCCGTCCCCTGGAGGACCCCGAGGGCCCATTGGCCCCTCGAACCCAGGCTCCCCCTGAAGGTCGCAAAAAGACAAGACTAATGTTTAGCATGGTTAATCATGGCTAATGTTGTAACAGCTCACAACACTGTATACAGCAGCATACAGAATATTGTGCCACGTCAGATTGACAGTACCAAAACCAACTTCCCTCTGAACATACAGGTAGCTACCAAAATAAAGGAAACACTTGAGTAAAAGTATATTGAAAGCAAGTGCTTCCACACAGGTGTGGTTCCTGAGTTAATTAAGCAATTAAAACATCCCATCATGCTTAGGGTCATGTATAAATATGCCCAGTTGCCCATTGTCTTGGCTACCATGGCTAGAAGAAGCATAGGGGGGTTAAAGGGTGTGTGTGTGTGTGTGTGTGTCAGTCATCAGATCTCAACCAAATTGAATAGTTATGGGAGATTCTAGAGCTGCGCCTGAGACAGCGTTTTCCACCACCATCAACAAAACACCAAATGATGGAATTTATTGTGGAAGAATGGTGTTGCATTCCTCCAATAGAGTTCCAGACACTTGTAGAATCTATGCCAAGGCACATTGAAGCTGTTCTGGTGGCACGTGGTGGCCCAATGCCCTAATAAGACACATGTTGGTGTTTCCTTTATTTTGGAAGTTACCTGTAGTTCCCCAATTGAACATAGCACAGTCTTTTGTTTCTGGGGCCATGAATGACATACTGTACTATAATTACATTGGCATTTAATTAGAATTGCAGTTGATATATTGTCACTATGACATAAGTATTCAATAAATATCACACCATTATCATCATTATGATCATTATCATAGGCCCCACCAAGCCAGTCCAGTGTGATAATGAGGCCCTACCTTGGGCCCCTGGATGCCCTCTCCTGGGATTCCTGAGAGGCCAGGTGGACCTGGCTGACCCACAGAACCCTGCAAAACACACAAATATTAGTTCAGTTCCACATTACAATTTTCAAAAATAAACCTTTTTAAAAGGACACTGGTATTGAAAAGAAACGAGATGTTGACAAAAAGTGTATACAATAAGATCTACAGCAGATGAAGGGTCTATGCCGGGGTAGGGGCTAGGGGGTAGGGGCTAGGAGCAAGTGGATGCAGGCTGTTTCTGGACTAATCCTGTGTTTCCAGTCATCACTGACCTTAAGTCCCAGCAGACCAATGCCAGGTGGTCCTGTTGGCCCTGGAAGTCCTGATGAACCTCTGTCACCCTGAAACACATGGCAAATAATATGAATTAATGTTTCATTGTACACATACAGTGCAGTATATATACTCATGAGAGAGAGAGAGAGAGAGAGAGAGAGAGAGAGAGAGTATGTAAAACCGTGTATGTAAAACCTGATTCATTGTGTGAAGGATTAGAGTTAACATTGTGTGTATAAGGTAAGTTCAGAGCTTACCTTAGGACCAGGTAATCCTTTCCCTTCAGGTCCCAACTCTCCTGGTTGCCCTGGCAACCCTGGGAGGCCCTGCTTATCAACAAGAACAAGGCTGGGTTAATGTGTTGGGATTTCATTTTCAATGCATACTAAAGCTCTGATGAAGGCTATGGGGATACTATGTAAGCTTAATAAACAAGTGATACTGGCAAACGGAATTTCCCACACATCTGCAAGTAACTTCAGATATTCAAGGAATTTTCTTATTTTGAATCCATGAATGTTGCCATTCGTATTTTCATAGCTTGGCTTGCCAGGCTTATAGGGTGGTGCAAAGACACAGGGCTGGCAAACTAGACTAGGGTTTTTAAATAACTAGCAACATCAATAGTCCCACCTGAGGTCCTGTATAGCCGTCTCCCTTCAACCCTGGTGGTCCAACAGGTCCAGGGTTCCCCCTCTCACCCTGAATGGGAGAGAAACACACAAACAGAAAAATATGTGTCATTGCAGTACTAGCTTGCTGCAAAACCTTGGTAATAATGTAATAAATCCATTGCATCAGAGCTAGGCTGTGTTCTAGCTGTGTGTTGAGGTTACCTTCGGCCCAGCGATGCCCACTCCAGGGTCTCCTACAGGCCCTGACTGCCCCACTGGTCCAAGGTCGCCCTGTCAATGTGGACAATAAGGGTTTTAGTGCTGTGTATGACAGAGCATTAAATGGATGGGTGTGTAACTCAGTAGTCACTTTATCTGAGACCTAAAGACTTGAATTAGTTCCTAGAGTTAATGCCTGGGCTTTAGTTTAGCAGGCTTATGGCGCGCAGGGGACCATGGTTTCGAACCCAGGTCAATCAAAAGTTGATATTTCTAAGACACTATGGTGTGTGTGTGCACGTGCATGCGTGTGTGCAGGTATTTGTATGCACCTGTGTGTATACCACTTACCTTTGACCCAGGTAGGCCCCTGCCAGGAGGACCTGGTAGACCCATCATTCCAAAACTGCCAGGCTCTCCCTGAACAGAAGAACAGAGACGTGAGATATATGACACCATGAACCTCACGGATGACAAAGAAACAATTGCCAGGTAACTACAGCAAACACACACAACCTGTTCCTCTGATATGTTGAACCAGCATTCAAAAGCCACATCTCATATTATGAGCCAAATCTACTGTAAAAGAGCGTAATGGGAGTTTACTGATATTGTCATTATAAACATATTGTTAAAAAAGACCTCTCATAGGATTAACAAGCCTAAAAGAGATGTAAGATACAGTCATGGGTGGGATAGCTTACTGGTGTCGTTATAAAGCATATTGTTCATCTGTCTTCTTTATCCTTAATCAAACAACCTCATATCACACAATAGCCACAATAAATCAGTCCCTCAAATAGTTTGTAAAGTAATTTAAGCAATACTTATGTATTTTGAAATCTGAGGATTATGGTATGAAGGCAAACACTGATAGTAAAACAGTGTTTGAAGTGTGCATACCCTTAAAGTGAAGTGCCATGATGCGAATTGATGACACTAAAATGCAACCTGGTCTCAGAGCATTTCGTATTAATTTGTACGTAAATCCGAGATGCCCCATTTATACTGAAGAAAAATATAAAGGCAACATGCAACAATTTCAACGATTTGACTGATTTACAGTTCATATAAGGAAATCAGTCAATTGAAATTAATTAATTAGGCCCTAATCTATGGATTTCACATGACTGGGCAGGGGTGCAGTCATGGGTGGAGCCAGGCCCAGCCAATCACAATGAGTTTTTCCCCACAAAAGGGCTTTATTACAGACAGGAATACTCCTGTTTCATCAGCTGTCTGGGTGGCTGATTTCACACGATCCCGCAGGTGAAGAAGCCGGATGTGAATGTCCTGGGCTGCCGTGGTTACACGTGGTCTCCGGTTGTGAAGCCGGTTGGATGTACTGCCAAATTCTCTACAACGACGTTGGAGGCAGCTTATGGTAGAAAAGTGAACATAAAATTCTCTGGCAACAGCACTGGTGGACATACCTGCAGTCAGCATGAGACATCTGTGGCATTGTGTTGTGTGACAAAACTGCACATTTTAGAGTGGCCTTTTATTGTCCCCAGCACAAGGTGTACCTGTGTAATGATCATGCCGTTTAATCAGCTTCTTGATATGCCACACCTGTCAGGTGGATGGATTATCTTGGCAAAGGAGAAATGCTCACTAACAGGGATGTAAAGAACTTAGTGCAAATAATTTGAGAGACATTTCTGAGATCTTTTATTTCAGCTCATGAAACATAGGACCAACACATGTTGTGTTTATATTTTTGTTCAGTATATTATGATATCTTACGTTTTCGTATGGTATGTATTAATTTGTGGATGTCCATCATCCATTTAGTATGATATGTTACGAATTCCAATTTGTTGTGGTTAACGTTAGCTGGGTGGCTAGGTGGCTAATTCTAACGTTAGCTAGCTGGCTAACATTAGCTAGGCTAGGGGTTAAGGTTAGGAGTTAGGTTAAAGGGTTAGGGTTAGGGTTAGTCAAAAGGGTTAAGGTTAGGGTTAGGGGAAGGGTTACATAACATGCTAAGTAGTTGCAAAGTAGCTAAAAAGTAGTAAGTAGTTGAAAAGTTGCTATTAGCTAAAATGCTAAATGAGATTTGAACACGCAACCTTTGGATTGCTAGATGTTCGCGTTATACGCCGACCCATCCACTCCGACCAACCACCCTCCTTTCATTTTTGCCTTAACTAACCTTCTTTCTTATGTAACCATACCAAACGTAACATATCATACTAATTTGAGTGTCCCCGGATTTATATTTACTGTGTTACATCTAGTCTAATAGACCAGGCTGTAAAATGCAGTGATGGAAAACAATGGTTGTTGGCTTCTTGTCAATGCTTCTGGGAACCCTGGAGGAAACAGCGCACATACTTGGTACAACTCAGACTTCTTTAATGTCAATGGGAGACTTGCTTAAAAATGTGTGTTAAGTGTGAAGATCTCAAATCAGAATACCACCCAGACTGAACATCAAGTTGAAGAATTCCAAGCAGCATTCCACTCATGTAACTTGACTGAGAACCTCAGACGACACTCATATAACAGCCATATAATCGAACCCTAACATTAGCCCCTAGAATTCCCTTTAAAACTGCTTAAAACCAAGCCAGGTATAAACCCTAATGCCTCCTCTATTAAACCCTAACATTCCCTAACATCTAACTAACTACAACAGGGATGGGCAACTTTGATGAGGGTGGGGTCCACAAAAAAACAGAACTCATCATAAGGGGCCCCAGTGACTCGTGGGTCTGCATACCCACATCCATACAATTCAGTTTTAAAGTTCATTTCCTGCAATTCTGCACATTTTGCCATGGGACATAGAGAAAATGTTGCCATTTCAAAGCAAGTTTGCTGCAATTCTACACATTTTGCCATGGGGAGGTGATAAGATTTAGCAATTTTATAACACATTTCATGCAATTCTACTCATTTTGCCATGGGGTGGAGAGCAAAATGTACAGTTTTACAGCTAATTTGCTGCAATTCTACACATTTTGCCATAGGGTGGAGGCAAATGTTTTTAATATGATAACTGATGATCAATGGGCCCCACCCCGGTCGGTAATTCGACCATGCTTACTACAAGTTTAGATAGCTGGCCACTAGACTAACTTACCAATCTAAAAAATGTTAGCTGACATGGGCTAATTGACTGACTGCTGATGCGCAAACAAATTTCGAAATTGCACCTTGTGTATTATATTAATCTAACTCTCAACAGTAAATTGAGACCGCGACTGAGTTCCCCCCCCCCCCATAAAAAAAAAACTCAGTCGCGGTCTCAATTTACTGTTGAGAGTTAGATTAATATAATACACAAGGTGCAATTTCGAAATTTGTCCGCGAGCTTACAAAAGGGGGTCCACAGGCACCAAGTTGCCCATCCCTGATTTAAAGCATCATAAAAGGAAATCATGTGAACATGGACCTTGGCTGAAAGACTCCAGTCTATACTTTTCCACAGCAGTTGTGACCAGCCAGCCGTTAACCCTAACATTCCCCATATTACCTGCTCAGGTAGCTAAGCTATAACTAGGACCTGAAGAAATTCTTGACCATTTTGGTCTTTATTGTCAAAACGTTTCACGGCAGAAGTCATAGAAAGGACCCAGTTTGATGAGAGTGCAGTGGACCACTCTTTAAGGGTATGCACAAATTGAGGAGTGTGGCTTTAACATACCTTGGCTCCTGCAGGTCCCACAGCCCCTGACATTCCTGGTAGTCCCCTCACCCCCCGGTCACCTCGATCACCCTGTAGACAAACACACGTGAAATCCTTCAAAAAACGAACTGTACACACAAAGACAGAGCACAGCATGTACCAACCTGTGATGTGCATACCATAGAGCTATGGTTAAAAGTAATGCACTATATAGGGAATATGGTGCTATTTGGGACGTTGACACTGTCAGGATTCTCTGGAATGCACCAATACTGTGTTTGAGCTTCCGTTACCAATACAGGTGCCATTCATGTCTTATTATTTTGACGTATAATATTGCTTGGAATTTCCTTTCAAAGGTGAAGCACCGGTCAGGGAGTCTAGTTGTATTGGATATTGACTTTGTGAAAATGTTCAGTAAATGTTTATTCATCCAGCCTGATGTATACGGCATGTTCAATATGGCGTTAATGATGCAGATTTCTCTGCCGTCACACCCTCCCTTTGACCAGTAAACTCACTCAATTCAATTGTGTAAGGCCCAGCGCAATATATGTCCATCCTGTACTTTGAAGGTTGACCATTCAGGATGTCATTGCCTGTATTGCTTAAGGTGGAATTGAATAATCGGACGGACTCCTATACTGGATGCAGGTAACACTGTGTTTAACGTAGTTGTTTGCAGGTGTGCTAGCACTACAGTGCCAAAGGTTTCGATAGGACTGTGGGTGGTTGTCTGGGTAAACATTCTAGATCCCAAACCTTCAAAAAAAGAACTCTACCTTTTCTCCAGGAATTCCTTTCCCAGGCGCACCCTCTGTCCCTCGCAGTCCTGACAAACCAATCTCACCCTGTTTCAAGACACGAAGGAGAATATAAAAATGCAGACAATTAACAAGTTTTCTTTATTTTTTTTATTTTTTTAGGGGGTAGATCAACTTTAATATTGCAGATAGATTGTAACTTCCATCAATGTAATTGTCTGCATCACTTCCAATCCCCCATATGCTTTTCTTCTCGCAAATCCTGTTTGAACTTGTTATCAGTATAAAATACACCTGTCCACAACCTCAAACAGTCACACTCCAAACTCCACTATTGCCAAGACCAAAGAGCTGTCAAAGGACACCAGAAACTAAATTGTAGACCTGCACCAGGCTGGGAAGACTGAATCTGCAATAGGTAAGCAGCTTGGTTTGAAGAAATCAACTGTGGGAGCAATTATTAGGAAATGGAAGACATACAAGACCACTGATAATCTCCCTCGATCTGGGGCTCCACGCAAGATCTCACCCTGTGGGGTCAAAATGATCACAAGAACAGTGAGCAAAAATCCCAGAACAACACGGGGGGACCTAGTGAATGACCTGCAGAGAGCTGGGACCAAAGTAACAAAGCCTACCATCAGTAACACACTATGCCGCCAGGGACTCAAATCCTGCAGTGCAAGACGTGTCCCCCTGCTTAAGCCAGTACATGTCCAGGCCCATCTGAAGTTTGCTAGAGTGCATTTGGATGATCCAGAAGAGGATTGGGAGAATGTCATATGGTCAGATGAAACCAAAATATAACTTTTTGGTAAAAACTCAACTCGTCGTGTTTGGAGGACAAAGAATGCTGAGTTGCATCCAAAGAACACCATACCTACTGTGAAGCATGGGGGTGGAAACATCATGCTTTGGGGCTGTTTTTCTGCAAAGGGACCAGGACGACTGATCCGTGTAAAGGAAAGAATGAATGGGGCCATGTATCGTGAGATTTTGAGTGAAAACCTCCTTCCATCAGCAAGGGCATTGAAGATGAAACGTGGCTGGGTCTTTCAGCATGACAATGATCCCAAACACACTGCCCGGGCAACGAAGGAGTGGCTTCGTAAGAAGCATTTCAAGGTCCTGGAGTGGCCTAGCCAGTCTCCAGATCTCAACCCCATAGAAAATCTTTGGAGGGAGTTGAAAGTCTGTGTTGCCCAGCGACAGCCCCAAAACATCACTGCTCTAGAGGAGATCTGCATGGAGGAATGGGCCAATATATACACATAAATATACACATATATATATACATATTCATATATATATACACACATACACATACACATATACACATACAGTTGAATTCAGAAGTTTACATACACTTAGGTTGGAGTCATTAAAAATCGTTTTTCAACCACTCCACAAATGTCTTGTTAACAAACTATAGTTTGGCAAGTCTGTTAGGACATCTACTTTGAGCATGACACAAGTCATTTTTCCAACAATTGTCTACAGACAGATTATTTAACTTATAATTCACTGTATCACAATTACAGTGGGTCAGAAGTTTACATACACTAAGTTGACTGTGCCTTTAAACAGCTTGGACAAATCCAGAAAATGATGTCATGGCTTTAGAAGCTTCTGATAGGCTAATTGACATCATTTGAGTCAATTGGAGGTGTACCTGTGGATGTATTTCAAGACCTACCTTCAAACCCAGTGCCTCTTTGCTTGACATAATGGTAAAATCTAAAGAAATTAGCCAAGACCTCAGAAAACAAATTGTAGACCTCCACAAGTCTGGGTCATCCTTGGGAGCAATTTCCAAACGCCTGAAGGTACCACGTTCATCTGTACAAACAATAGTACACAAGTATAAACACCATGGGACCACGCAGCCGTCATACTGCTCAGAAAGGAGACGCGTTCTGTCTCCTAGAGATTAACGTACTTTGGTGTGAAAAGTGCAAATCAATCCCAGAACAACAGCAAAGGACCATGTGAAGATGCTGGAGGAAACAGGTACAAAAGTATCTATATCCACAGTAAAACGAGTCCTATAGAAGCCACTGCTCCAAAACCGCCATAAAAAAGACAGACTACGGTTTGCAACTGCACATGGGGACAAAGATCGTACTTTTTGGAGAAATGTCCTCTGGTCTGATGAAACAAAGATAGAACTGTTTGGCCATAATGACCATCGTTATGTTTGGAGGAAAAAGGGGGTTGCTTGCAAGCCAAAGAACACCATCCCAACCGTGAAGCACAGGGGTGGCAGCATCATGCTGTGGGTGTGCTTTGCTGCAGGAGGGACTGGTGCACTTCACAAAATAGATGGCATCATGAGGAAGGGAAATTATGTGGATATATTGAAGCAACATCTCAAGACATCAGTCAGGAAGTTAAAGCTTGGTCGCAAATGGGTCTTCCTAATGGACAATGACCCCAAGCATACTTCCAAAGTTGTGGCAAAATGGCTTAAGGACAACAAAGTCAAGGTACTGGAGTGGCCATCACAAAGCCCTGAGCTCAATCTTATAGAAAATGTGTGGGCAGAACTGAAAAAGCGTGTGCGAGCAAGGAGGCCTACAAACCTGACTCAGTTACACCAGATCTGTCAGGAGGAATGGGCCAAAATTCACCCAACTTATTGTGGGAAGCTTGTGGAAGGCTACCCGAATCGTTTGACCCAAGTTAAACAATTTAAAGGCAATGCTACCAAATACTAATTGAGTGTATGTAAACTTCTGACCCACTAGGAATGTGATGAAATAAATAAAAGCTGAAAGAAACAATTCTCTCTACTATTATTCTGACATTTCACATTCTTAAAATAAAGTGGTGATCCTAACTGACCTAAGACAGTGAATTTTTACTAGGATTAAATGTCAGGAATTGTGAAAAACTGAGTTTAAATGTATTTGGCTAAGGTGTACAGTGAGGGAAAAAAGTATTTGATCCCCTGCTGATTTTGTATGTTTGCCCACTGACAAAGAAATGCTCAGTCTATAATTTTAATGGTAGGTTTATTTGAACAGGTAGAGACAGAATAACAACAACAAAATCCAGAAAGGTGTATGTAAACTTCCGACTTTAACTGTACATACACACACATATATATACATCCATCCATCCATATATACATACATCCATACACACACACATATCCTTTTTTAAATTATATTTCCCTTCATTACTTTCCAACCCCACCACCCCTTCCCCAATTGGAGTAAACTAGTGAACAACAACGCTTAGACCTCTACTTCCAGCCCATACATACTATATATATTTTATGGACACAGTCAAATTCTACAATAACTATATTTTGTTTGTTTTTACTCCTGAACTTCCTTAGATCATTTTCATGATGTCCATCTGGTTTGCTTCTATATGCCATATTTTGTGCTCTTTCACAAAAGCTCTCAACCTATAACCTATATACTTATTATGGACACAGTATGCTTTACATTAGTTATCTTGTTGTTATTAGTCCCATCCTTCAGCTCCATTCAACACCTCCCATCTATCTCTTAACACCATCCATATTGGATTTCTATTTGCCATATATTTTTCAACTGTGATGTTTTACAAAAGTTCTGAATCTTTCTATTCTCATTGTTTCTACAGATGGTAAATTGAAACTAAACATTTTTGCTAAAAGTATTATTATATTATTGATCAATTGACTATGACTTTTCAGATCACCCAGTAGTGCTATCAGCAGGGTTAGCTCCAGGTAAATATTGCAATCCTTTAACCATTCCTGGACCTGTGTCCAAAAACAAGCTACAAATGATCTAATGATTCTGTCTCTTCGCAGCAAAATCTGCAGAGCTGGGAAGATTGTATCCCCCATATAAATAACATTATATTGGTAGCAAGAATTTTGTATAATAATTTTTTAATCCGGCGTCGTTTTGCGTATCAATTCATAAACACTATGCCATGGAATCGGTACGTCAAAAATCTCTTCCCAACTATTTTGCAATCTATATGGGACGGCTGTCAATCCTTTGGTCCTTAAATGAAACTGGTATACTTTTTTATTTATTAAAATTTTCTTTAACCAATTATGGTCTTTAATGCAAGGCCGACAGACAAGTTCCTTACTTTTTCCCCCTTCCACTTTCCTTCTCCATTTTTGCGGTAATGCTGCAATTATTTGGTTGTAATTTTGGGTAGAGCAGACATTTCCATATGTTTTTGTCAGCTGCATGTGCGACATAACTCCACCAGTCCTACCGATAATATCATTTACGAAGATTATACCTTTATTAAACATTTTGTAAAAAAAAAAAAGTTTTTTGATCAATTAGTATATTTGAGTTTAACCACAATATTTGTTACATTATTTGTTCTGTCGTTTCTGGAGGATTACATTGAAATTGCAACCAACTTTCTATGGCTTGTTTTAGAAATGGTGATATTTGGGAGATTATTTCCTTTTCAAATAACTTAAAGTGAGAGGTTGTAATCTGAATAAAGGGAAAAAGGCCATTCTTCAACATTGGGTGAGACAATCTTACTTATTTGCTAGAGAACCAGTTCGGATTTAAGTATAACTTTTGAATGACTAAAGCTTTTAGTGATAGGTCTAATGCTTTAATATTTAATAATTTCTCTCCTCCGAATTCATATTCATTATATAAATAGGCCCGTTTAATTTTGTCTGGCTAGCCGTTCCAAAATAAAATGGAATATTTTTTTCTCATATAATTTAAAAAACTGTTCGCTAGGCGTAGGCAAGACCATAAGCAAATACAGTGGGGAAAAAAGTATTTAGTCAGCCACCAATTGTGCAAGTTCTCCCACTTAAAAAGATGAGAGAGGCCTGTACTTTTCATCATAGGTACACATCAACTAGGACAGACAAATTGAGAAAAACATTTCCAGAAAATCACATTGTAGGATTTTTTATGAATTTATTTGCAAATTATGGTGGAAAATAAGTATTTGGTCACCTACAAACAAGCAAGATTTCTGGCTCTCACAGACCTGTAACTTCTTCTTTAAGAGGCTCCTCTGTCCTCCACTCGTTACCTGTATTAATGGCACCTGTTTGAACTTGTTATCAGTATAAAAGACACCTGTCCACAATCTCAAACAGTCACACTCCAAACTCCACTATGGCCAAGACCAAAGAGCTGTCAAAGGACACCAGAAACAAAATTGTAGACCTGCACCAGGCTGGGAAGACTGAATCTGCAATAGGTAAGCAGCTTGGTTTGAAGAAATCAACTGTGGGAGCAATTATTAGGAAATGGAAGACATACAAGACCACTGATAATCTCCCTTGATCTGGGGCTCCACGCAAGATCTCACCCCGTGGGGTCAAAATGATCACAAGAACGGTGAGCAAAAATCCCAGAACCACACGGGGGGATCTAGTGAATCTTGCGAATGACCTGCAGAGAGCTGGGACCAAAGTAACAAAGCCTACCATCAGTAACACACTACGCCGCCAGGGACTCAAATCCTGCAGTGCCAGACGTGTCCCCCTGCTTAAGCCAGTACAGGTCCAGGCCCGTCTGAAGTTTGCTAGAGTGCATTTGGATGATCCAGAAGAGGATTGGGAGAATGTCATATGGTCAGATGAAACCAAAATATAACTTTTTGGTAAAAACTCAACTCGTCGTGTTTGGAGGACAAAGAATGCTGAGTTGCATCCAAAGAACACCATACCTACTGTGAAGCATGGGGGTGGAAACATCATGCTTTGGGGCTGTTTTTCTGCAAAGGGACCAGGACGACTGATCCGTGTAAAGGAAAGAATGAATGGGGCCATGTATCGTGAGATTTTGAGTGAAAACCTCCTTCCATCAGCAAGGGCATTGAAGATGTAACGTGGCTGGGTCTTTCAGCATGACAATGATCCCAAACACACCACCCGGGCAATGAAGGAGTGGCTTCGTAAGAAGCCTTTCAAGGTCCTGGAGTGGCCTAGCCAGTCTCCAGATCTCAACCCCATAGAAAATCTTTGGAGGGAGTTGAAAGTCCGTGTTGCCCAGCGACAGCCCCAAAACATCACTGCTCTAGAGGAGATCTGCATGGAGGAATGGGCCAAAATACCAGCAACAATGTGTGAAAGCCTTGTGAAGACTTACAGAAAACGTTTGACCTGTGTCATTGCCAACAAAGGGTATATACAAAAAGTATTGAGAAACTTTTGTTATTGACCAAATACTTATTTTCCACCATAGTTTGCAAATAAATTCATAAAAAATCCTACAATGTGATTTTCTGGGGAAAAAAATCCTCAATTTGTCTGTCATAGTTGACGTGTACCTATGATGAAAATTACAGGCCTCTCTCATCTTTTTAAGTGGGAGAACTTGCACAATTGGTGGCTGACTAAATACTTTTTTTCCCCACTGTAGGTAAACTGGGATAATACTAAAGAGTTCATCAGGGTGATTTTTCCAAAAATTGACACGTATTTACCTTTCTATGGTAGCAGGATCTTATCTATTTTTGCTAACTTTCTATGAAGATGTATTGGAGTGAGATCATTTATTTCATTTGGGATATGTATTCCGAGTATATCCACATCACCGTCAGACCATTTTATTGGTAAACTACATGGTAATGTAAAAATTGTATTTTTTAGTGATCCAATACGTAATATAGTACATTTATCATAATTTGGTTGTAATCCAGAGAGGTTAGAAAATATATCTAGATCCTCTGTGAGGCTGTGGAGGGATTCAAGTTGTGGATAAAAAAAAGAAAACATGAATCATCAGCGTACAATGACACCTTTGTTTTTATGCCCTGGATTTCTAATCCCTTGTTATTATTGTTAGATCAGATTTTAATAACTAACATCTCGATGGCAATAATAAATAGATATACCGATAGTGGACAACCTTGTTTCACTCCTCTTGACAGTTAAAACCTTTCTGAGAAATAGCCATTATTTACTATTTTACACCTAGGGTTACTATACATGATTTTATCCCAATTTATAAGAGATTGTCCAAAATGTTAATGCTCCAGGCATTTATATATAAACCCCAGTCATACTTTATCCAATGCCTTTTCGAAGTCTGCTATGAATAGTAAGCCTGGTTTCCCAGATTTTTCATAGTGTTCTATTGTTTCCAGTACTTGCCTTATATTATCTCCAATGTATCGCCCATGTAAAAAACCTGTCTGATTAGAATGAATAATGTCTGACAATACCTTTTTAATTCTATGCACTATACATTTTGCTAGAATTTTTGCATCACAACACTGAAGTGTAAGGGGCCTCCAATTTTTTTAATGGACTGGATCTTTATATTTTCTACTTGTATCCTGTTTCAGTAATAATGAAATCAGACCTTCTTCTTGAGTGTCTGATAATCTACCATTTACATAGGAGTGGTTAAAACATGCTAATAACGGTCCTCTGAGTATATCAAAAAAGGTTTGGTATACCTCGACTGGTATGCCATCCAACCCATCCCGGACATAAAGTCTTTAATTGCATCCAGAAGTTCCTCCTCTATAATTTCACCTTCACATGAGTCTTTCTGTATGGCTATTCATTTTACATTATCAATAGAAAAAAAATCTCTACAATTTGCTTCAGTTAGAGGAGATGGAGGCGACTGAAACGAAAACATATGCTTAAAGTACTTTGTTTCCTCCTTCAAAATATCATTTGGTGAATCATGGGTGACTCCGTCATTTGTAACCAGTTTCAATAAATTATTTTTGGTAGCATTCCTATGTTGAAGATTAAAAATGAATTTGGTGCATTTTTCCCATATTCCATCCAGTTTGGTTTATTTTTATAATATATTACACTTGATCTTTCTTGAATAAGATTCTCCATTTATTTTTGTTTTTCCTCTCATTTATTCTGAGCCTCTATGTTACAGTTTTTATTGCTATCTATCTGTTCTGTTAGACCTTCTATTTCCTTTGTTAGTGTGGACTCTTTTGACCTAAATTGCTTTTGTTTTCGAGATGAGTACTTAATTGCATGGCCTCTAAAGGCACATTTAAAGGTGTCCCATACAATAAGGGGATTTGCTGTACCTATGTTATGTCGGAAAAAATCAGTTATAAATTCCTCTGTCCTAGTTAAAAAGAAGTTATCATCCAATAGGCTTTGATTACATTTCCAATATCCTCGCCCACGTGGAAATTCAGTAAGAGTAATGTATATGCCAATTATATGATGGTCCGACCGCATTCTCTCCCCTATCAACACTTTTTAAACTTTTGGTGCCAACGAGAATTACATAAGAAAGAAGTCAAGACGACTAGCTTGATTGAGTCTCCGCCATGTATATCTCACTAGATCAGGATATTTAAGCCTCCATATATCTACTAGTTCTAATGTATCCATGACATTCATGATTTCCTTAAGAGCATGAGGGTGATTGTTTGTAGTGTGATTTCTTTTACGGTCCATTGAGCTATTTAAAACTGTATTATAATCTCCCACCATAATAATAGAGTCTTGAATTGCTTGCAGAGTTCATCATTAATTATATATATTGTCAAAGAAGTGTGGATCATCATTATTTGGTCCGTAAAGGTTAATGAACGAGTTAGCAAGTTAACTATTTCAAATGGCTGTGCTCTGTGCATTTGCGTGTGCATTTTAAAGCAGTTGGACGAATAAAGATTACTTAAACTTTAGAGCAAATCATTCCTAACTTTACACTCTAGTAAATATACAATGGGGCCCAATTAACTTTGACCTCTAAATTAACTTTGACCTCCTTTGACCCCTTGCTTACCTTAGGTCCGACCGCTCCATCTTCCCCAGGTATACCAGGTATCCCAGAGGATCCGTCAGGTCCTGGTTCACCCTGGAGACGACCAAAGATCAGACACACACCTCCACATTCAACACCTGCTCATCTCAGCTGCACATACCACAGGAGGTTGGTGGCACCTTAATTGGGGAGAACAGGCTCGTGGTAATGGCTGGAGCGGTATGGGTGGAATGGTATCAAATACATAAAACACATGGTTTCCATGTGTTTGATGCCATTCCATTTACTCCGTTCCAGACATTATTATGAGCCGTCCTCCCCTCAGCAGCCTCCACTGGTACATACAGTACATGTATATAATGTCCTGTGTTGTATGTTGGACTTTTGCCATCCACTCACCTTTGACCCTGGCTCCCCGACTCCTCTCTCTCCCTGTGGTCCATGCTCTCCTGGGAAACCCTGGTCACCCTGTGGAGAAGATAACTGAATCAGTCCCTGAATGAAAACCAGCAGTACTACAGACATCGAGGTCTGGATTTGAGTAAGGGGGCAATGTACCATGTCACCCACCACCATATTTAGTTCCACCCACCTTTGGACCAACTATTCCCAACCCTGGTGGCCCCCGAGGGCCGGAAGACCCAGATGGACCATTGTCTCCCTGCAAAGAGAGAGAGGGGCAGAGAAGAGTCAGTTCAGTTATACGTGAGTGATCCAACAAACAGAATGTCAGTGGGATACAAATTGAAATAGTGTAACAGAGTGGAAACAGTAGAACAAATAATGGAATAATTTGATAGGCCTGCCTTTTCTCCTTGGATCCCTGCACCTGGAAAACCCACCAATCCTGGCAAACCTGGGGCTCCTGTGTTTCCCTGGAGGTCAGAGGTTAGAGGGATCAGGGGATAAGCGGTAATCCCTTAGTGCAGGGGTTCCCAAACTTTTTTTTTTGCGTCGGTACCCCTTTTATGATAGCAACTTCATAAGGGACTGTCATAATATCAGAACACAACTCCTACTTTAGAGTGTGATAAAAATAGCATACAAGCAGTTTTACTATGACTTCCGCAGTGCATGGCCGGACATATCAAGTCTCGGCCCCTGGGAATTAACATTTAAAAGGCCCCCCTCTTGACATCAGAGAGACAATTTTGAAGTTTTAAAGCACATTTCCTGCTATTCTACAAATGTTGCCTTGAGGCAGACAAAAGAATTTGGCCGCGGACCCTCTGCAGTTCCCCACTTTGAGAACCCCTGCCTTACTGTACACAATGTTTTCATGACCATCATCAACATAGACACACAGCAATTCATGATGTCTGTTCAATACCTTCCATCTTGAGATGGTTTAGGGTTAAGTTTAAGGTCAGGGTTAGGGCTAACATACCTTGTCACCTTTGAACCCTGAACCCTGGGTGCCGCGGATGCCCTTAGGACCCTCGTAACCCCTGTCACCCTGAAACACATAAAGGACACTGAGCCATTAGCTAGGTACACACTTTACTGTATAAATAAGAAAGATATGTGATTCCTACATGTCATATCTCACATACAGTACATATTCAAGCTAGACTATTCAGTGGGTTGAACAGCTAGTGATGGTGTCTCACCTTAGGCCCTGGTAGACCCTCTCCTGGGGACCCTTGTGTTCCCTGAACCCCTGGAGAACCAATCGGACCCTAGTAGACATAATACAGAGGATAAAAATTGCATATATTCCTCAGCATAGAGCAAAGCTCAATTATTTACAATATGTCTCCACCTAGTGGATAGCCTGACACACTGCAGGGTAATTCTACAAGAGGGCTATGTCAAGCAAGCATTGACATAAGAAAGATATCTAGCCATAACACCTAACAAACATTGTGAACTTACTGGCAGTCCTGGTTCACCCATACCCATGGGACCATTGGGTCCAGGCCTTCCCTGATTTCCCTTATTGCCCTAGGATACAGGAGAAACTAGGATTAGAATCCGAGAGATCACTAGAGGGATTACTAGAGGGATCACTAGAGAGATCGTATGACAGAAAAGAGGTAGAAGTCACCCCTAACAACAGATCTAAACTAACCTTAGGTCCAGGAAAGCCGATGCCAGTATCCCCTGGAGGTCCCATCACTCCACCAGGTCCACGGTCACCCTGGGAAAGAGAGGGGCATCATTTTCACCTTTCCCCAACTTCCTCAGTACATTTTAGCTGTTTATCTTTATCTAGAACATTTCTGGAGGTATAGGAAGTTTAGCGTCATCCTTACTTTGGGTCCTACAGGTCCTTCAGAGCCCTGGTCCCCAGGACCTCCAATAAGACCCTGCAACAGAGACAAGACAAACACTTCGGTCAATGCCTGAATTTAAATAATCTGCAGTAGGCTAAATTCACAGGGCCTTGAGTTTTCCTTGTTAGAACCCCTCCCCACCACACACACACATACACAAATACTGTATAATCCCAAATAAGAAAACCAATAAATCAATAAATCAACTGAATGTTCTAAATTCTTTAAAATTCCCTCTATATCCCGCTAAGCTTACTTTGTAAATTTTTTTTACAAAAATGCGTGTGAGCAGCAATGTTTAGTTTCAAATTCTCTGGTCAATGTTATGGTATGGCAAACAGGTCATGTATATTTTGGAGGGTCAGGGTGTGGTCAATCAAATTATGTTTGATCATCCTCCATATTTCTACAATTATTCGCATAGGTACTCCCCAGTCCCCATGGGAACATGGTATGGACCAGGCCTAAAACTAAAATCTAAAAACCACCACCGTATTCAGACGATGGACTGCTGTTGTCATGCTAATGCAGGAGGGGCGTGAAAAGCGTTTAAGGAGGAATTAAGGGGGGGTGGATAACATGTGCAGAAACACTAATGCTGCAGGACAATAGTCTGGTGGGCGATAAAGACAATAAACTGCAGGCTTGGATTCCCTTCTTTAGATAGGCTCCATTAGGACGGGATAAGGACTAATCCAGGACTCACATTCCATAAGTGCAGACTGGGAGAAAAGCTTCATACTCAGTGTGCATCTCCATGAGATACTGATGGTTCCAGTGGAGGGTCGGATGTGGGGGTGTAGTCACAGGAATCGTTCAATTTGACCACTCACTCATTCACACACAGGTATGAATGGGCAAAGTGTTGTGTGAGGAGTGGGATTTTTCAAAATTGTTATGGCCATGGGGATTTCTCCTCAGTATGTAAATCGAAGACATTATAATTTAGAACACATGTAAGTACATATACTGGATTCTAAAGATACTCAGGGCCTTATTCAATTAAACCTAGTTGTTTTCCTGTTTCCAGCAGAGGCCGGTGGGAAGAGCTATCGGAGGACAGGCTCAGTGTAATGGCTGGAATGGAATAAATGGAACGGAGTCAAACACATCACACATATTTGACTCTGTTCCATTGATTCCATTCCATGCATTACAATTAGCCGTCTTCCTATAGCTCATCCGACCAGCCTCCTCTTGTTTCCAGGGTAAGTCAAATATAACATTTTCCCTGTACAGTGATAAAGTGTGTTAGAAAGAATCGATACGAAGTTGAGTTTTCTTTTTGTTTCACAAGCACAAAACAGTCACTCCTGCAGCACAGAAATAATGACTTTGACTTATCCCTGGGACTTGGCTATCTATTTTGATCTATTTTGTAGGGCCCCAAGTCTGTATCGACATGACAATAACCAAGCAAACATTGTCTGAGGCCTCTGGGAAAAAACATTGATCTGCATGTCTCCAAAATGACCATGCCACCACCATATTGACCATATTGTTCGCTGTAACATATGGACAATAAAGTTATATTATATTATTGAGTCACCTGCTCTCCTCTGGGTCCCTGAGGGCCTGGAGGTCCGTTTGGCCCCTGTGGGAACAGGTCACAGTCAGGAGGGGAAGAGGGACAAAACAACCCATTGAGGGTGCAGCCAAAAGTCACAAGAACTTTAAAAAGGACATGTGCAACTCTAACTCAGAGTTACAAGCTTACAAGCTGTTGAGTCTAGCGTATAGCTATCTCTTTACATTTACATTTTAGTCATTTAGCAGACGCTCTTATCCAGAGCGACTTACAGTTAGTGAGTGCATACATTTTTTTGTTTTTTATCTCTTCACATCACAATGTAATTCATCCAAAGTCAGCAAGGCATCTGAATGCACTGAGTAGCAGTTAGCGTGGGGGATAGCCATTTACAATGAACAGAGCAGAGGCGTGCCTACATGATCTCCCTTCATCCCGGGGGTGCCGCACTCGCCTCTTTCCCCCTGGAAAACAGAAAAAGCAGAGAAGACAGAATTTTGACTGCACTGAGCCTTTTAAACCGTGGCGTGCCAGAGGACGATGGCACTGGTTCAAACTGATGGTATCTAGCTAGCATGTGTTAGCTAGTGTTTGTTGTCAGAGTAGCATTGGGACCTTGACGAGCTGTTTCACTATGATTCAGCATCCAATCCATCATGGGTCAGTTTTCTTTGCTGTAATTAATGATTTGCTGTATTGTACTGTCATTCATTTATGGTCAGCAAGTAGTACTGGTATCTCACCTTTCCCCCTCTAGTGCCGGGCTGACCCTAAAACAATGGGAGAGATCTCAATAAAAATCGATACATCAGTTATAAGTCAACAATATACCTGTATAGATTGGCTTAGTCATCTATGCTACAGTACCTCGATACCCTCCATCCCAGGCCTTCCATTGATACCAGGTTCCCCCTACAGTGACACCAGAGACCAGACAGTGAATACATCCATACATCCATCAACATATATAAAAACATTACAACGAACATCAACGTATATAAAGAAAACAGCATTCTTTCTGTCACAACAAACGAACATTGGTGGGATTATCTCAGGGCAAAACGAAGAACTTACATTAAATCCTTTAGGACCGGGAGTACCGTCAGATCCAGGCTGGCCTGATTTCCCCTGCAGATTACACAGGAATGGAGAGATCATTCCATCAGAGGACAGAATGGACAGATTATTGGACAGAATGTGATTTTTCGGGGCCAATTTTCATCCCTGGTTGTTCCCATAACATCCCTGTAGTGTGTGTAGATTCGTGCGTAGGTGACCGTGGTCGTTCGGTGCATGTCCCTGTCTATGCTGTTCCTGTGACCTCTCTATGTATTATCAGCCTCAAACCCTGTGGTAGCCTATACAACCTCAGTCAACTCAATAGTGTCAGGGGCCTCTGTGCCGTATAGCCTCAGTTAACTCAATAGTGTCAGGGGCCTCTGTGCCGTATAGCCTCAGTTAACTCAATAGTGTCAGGGGCCTCTGTGCCGTATAGCCTCAGTTAACTCAATAGTGTCAGGGGCCTCTGTGCCGTATAGCCTCAGTTAACTCAATAGTGTCAGGGGCCTCTGTGCCGTATAGCCTCAGTCAACTCAATAGTGTCAGGGGCCTCTGTGCCGTATAGCCTCAGTAAACTCAATAGTGTCAGGGGCCTCTTTACCGTATAGCCTCAGTCAACTCAATAGTGTCAGGGGCCTCTGTGCCGTATAGCCTCAGTTAACTCAATAGTGTCAGGGGCCACTGTGCCGTATAGCCTCAGTAAACTCAATAGTGTCAGGGGCCACTGTGCCGTATAGCCTCAGTAAACTCAATAGTGTCAGGGGCCTCTGTGCCGTATAGCCTCAGTTAACTCAATAGTGTCAGGGGCCACTGTGCCGTATAGCCTCAGTAAACTCAATAGTGTCAGGGGCCTCTGTGCCGTATAGCCTCAGTTAACTCAATAGTGTCAGGGGCCTCTGTGCCGTATAGCCTCAGTTAACTCAATAGTGTCAGGGGCCACTGTGCCGTATAGCCTCAGTTAACTCAATAGTGTCAGGGGCCACTGTGCCGTATAGCCTCAGTAAACTCAATAGTGTCAGGGGCCACTGTGCCGTATAGCCTCAGTAAACTCAATAGTGTCAGGGGCCTCTGTGCCGTATAGCCTCAGTAAACTCAATAGTGTCAGGGGCCACTGTGCCGTATAGCCTCAGTAAACTCAATAGTGTCAGGGGCCTCTGTGCAGTATAGCCTCAGTTAACTCAATAGTGTCAGGGGCCTCTGTGCCGTATAGCCTCAGTTAACTCAATAGTGTCAGGGGCCACTGTGCCGTATAGCCTCAGTAAACTCAATAGTGTCAGGGGCCCATCCCCTCCCTGTGTGTTTGCCCACACCTAATCTCCTATCCTTGACCTCTGCTTCCAGCCAAAAGTCGCTCTTCAAAAGGCCTGCTAGTCAAAACACAGTCCCTCTATGCTATTCTTTTATTTTACGCCATGACCCTTCGCCCCTCGCACAGTACAGCTCTGCTACACTTGCAGTGTGGGAAACACTTCCTACTCTTTGATGTGATGCCCAGGACCCCTCTTGTATACACAGAGGCCAGATACAACTCATCCTATTCACAAAGAGGCCAGATGCACCTGCTATGAGCATACAGTGGGGTATGCAGGGGTGTTAGAGGGGCGTTGAGCAGTTAGGGTGCGTTAGGGACTGGGTGCTATGACTGGGAAAGCCCCTGGTTGCATACAAAGGGATATGTAGGGGGGTTACAGCCCATGGTTGTCCAACTGGTGAACTTGCCAGCAATAACACAGGCCTGTCTGAGGATTACTGCTCCTCTGTACTGCAGAGTAAACCACTGTCAATTTGGACACATCAACCTCGACATATGAGGTCAATTCATCAAACCAGTCAGTGCTTTTCAATGAGGAAAATTGGAATTTAAATGTCAGTGTACTTCCTGAATTGACTGAATTGACAAAAGACAACAAAATTAAAACTGAAGAAGAGTTATAGCGTATAGTGTTTACTAGCTACTAGAAGATGCTTTTGAGCCAAAACAAGAACAAGTTCGACAATGAGACAGAAGTGGACTCACTGGGCTTCCAGGGGGACCTCTCTCTCCTTTATCACACAGACAGGACTTTGGCTGTGGGCACTAAAACCAAGAGAAGCAACATTTGAGTATACACCTCAGAGATAATCATATTTACATTCCAAATGAAAAGAAAAAGGGACATATTTACCCCTGTGTTGACAAGCGCGTTCTAAAAAAAGAAGAAATAGCAAAAAAAAACGGTGATTTATATTTTGATAGCTCACACTCAGGTGCTCAGTAATGTATATGTTTAAATTGAGCCATTTTAATCCTGGTCAGGTAACTCACAGCATGAGCCCTACTGAATCGGGATTTAGGGGCTGAAGGAAAACATAAACATCTAGAATTGTATGGCAATGTCAAGACATGTTGGTATCCTTGAGGACAGCTCACTCCCATCACCACTCACCAGTTCTCTGAAGAGTTTATCCTCCAGCAGGTTGTCTGTAAGGCTGAGGACGTGCTGCTGTGGCGGGGCACTGGCGATGGAACGTAGCCTGGCATTGGTGGGCCCGTCCCAGGGTAGACCCGATAGCCCGATGGTGAACAGACGAATGTTGTGGTTCTTAGCCTCGGCCGCGGCGGTCACAGCACTGGGGCTGCGGGGATGGTCCACGCCGTCGGTCATTAGCAACATCACCCTCAGGCTGTTGGCCGCTGTCTCACGGCTAAACATCTGGGTGTTATAATCATTTGATTGTACTTTGGTATTGAGTCTCATACTTGTTTTTTGTATGGTGCACTTTGTTCTCAATTGGTTCTACTTTCTTTGGATAGTCCTCTATAGATAATCAAACTATCAACAAACTTTCATATGCAACCCTATTGGCTTGGGGTTAGGACTAGGGTTAGGTTTAGTGGATAGTTAGTTGAACGGTTAGTTGATGGTTAGTTTAACATCCATCAACCATCTGTAGGGGACTATCCAAATAAAGCACTACCAGATAATGATATGCAGACCTGTGTAGCGTTAGTGATGGCGTAGGCTGAGTAGGTTCCGTGTCCGATGTAGGCCATGGACGCCACTCTGCTCTGGAACACATCCACATCCTGCCAGTCCCGGAAGTTGTGCTCCAGGGAAACAGAGCTAGGAGAAGAAGAAGAAGAAGAAGAAGAAGAAGAAGAAGAAGAAGAAGAAGAAGAAGAAGAAGAAGAAGAAGAAGAAGAAGAAGAAGAAGAAGAAGATGGAGAGCAGTTAAATCTAGAGCAGCTAGATGGAGAGCACAAGGGCAGAAGATTACATCTACAGTGGGATACTAATACTAGCAACCCACTAGTTGCCAGCCCACTCCCGCCCAGATTTTTGTCCCGGCTGCCATGGGATAGAACCGGAGACTCTCTGGTTGTTAGCTCATCCCTCTAACCTCTACAGTACCAACCTGCTGTACTGCAGCACAGTCAGCCTCATCCCTCTAACCTCTACCGTACCAACCTGCTGTACTGCAGCACAGTCAGCCTCATCCCTCTAACCTCTACAGTAGCAACCTGCTGTACTGCAGCACAGTCAGCCTCATCCCTCTAACCTCTACAGTACCAACCTGCTGTACTGCAGCACAGTCAGCCTCATCCCTCTAACCTCTACAGTACCAACCTGCTGTACTGCAGCACAGTCAGCCTCATCCCTCTAACCTCTACAGTACCAACCTGCTGTACTGCAGCACAGTCAGCCTCATCCCTCTAACCTCTACAGTACCAACCTGCTGTACTGCAGCACAGTCAGCCTCATCCCTCTAACCTCTACCGTACCAACCTGCTGTACTGCAGCACAGTCAGCCTCATCCCTCTAACCTCTACAGTACCAACCTGCTGTACTGCAGCACAGTCAGCCTCATCCCTCTAACCTCTACAGTACCAACCTGCTGTACTGCAGCACAGTCAGCCTCATCCCTCTAACCTCTACAGTACCAACCTGCTGTACTGCAGCACAGTCAGCCTCATCCCTCTAACCTCTACAGTACCAACCTGCTGTACTGCAGCACAGTCAGCCTCATCCCTCTAACCTCTACAGTACCAACCTGCTGTACTGCAGCACAGTCAGCCTCATCCCTCTAACCTCTACAGTACCAACCTGCTGTACTGCAGCACAGTCAGCCTCATCCCTCTAACCTCTACAGTACCAACCTGCTGTACTGCAGCGCGGCCAGCCTCAACCTCAGTCTCCAGCCTGCTGCCTGGATCTGCATGAGCCGCGTGCTGAAACGCAGGACAAAGTCTTTCTGCTTCTCAAACAGCAGCACCTTGGCCTTCTCTGAGCTGTCCAGGATGAACATGATCTCCACCGGGCAGATCAGAACTATTGGGGAGGGGGAAGAGAGAGAGAGGGATGGAAAGAGAGAGGGTGGAGAGGATTAAAGGTGAGTGAATGAATGAATGAATACATGCATGAATACATGAATGGATGAATGCATGAATGAATGAATAAATGAAAGAATGAACGAATCGATGAATGAATTAATGAATGAAACCCACTTACTTTTTCCTTCATTTTGGAGGACCTGGTTGTCGTCTCTCTGGCCCTTCCTCCTCCTGCTCTGGCCCCTGGCTGTGTGTGTTAGTACCAACATGAGGAGCAACAGCTCCACAAACTTCCTCATCTTGATCTCTTGTCCAGCAGCTCAGCCTAGAACCAACCAAACACAAATTTGAGACTCCTTCTCCTAATTCAGCATACACACAGCACACACAGACACAGACACACACATGCACACATACACACACACACACACACACACACACACGCACACACACACACACACACGCCTAGTCACAGAAGAGTGACTAGTATGAAAATGTATGCACTCACTAACTGTAAGTCGCTCTGAATAAGAGCGTCTGCTATATGACTAAAAATGTTTTTAAAAATGTAAGAGTGCTATGACTTCTGTACACACTAGAGGGCAGCAACACCATAATACACAACAATAAATGACGCTAGATCCATTTGGGACAATGTGGTATCATAACTTGGTTGCATGCAAAGGGAACAGGGTGCACATGAAGCCTCCAGTGAGGGAATAGCTGCAGGTGTAACATCAAAATGACTACCCAGGGGACCAGAACCACTGCTCTATGTTTCAGATCATTTGTTTATTTTACCAAAGTTATTGCCAGTTACCTTTTGCCTTTATAGCAGTAATTTTCAGGATATGGTCAGACACCATTTTTTCTTCAGAAAATGAAAGGTCATTTCAATTGATTTATTTGAATTGGAATTGGTCTCAGCCTTATTCATAATATTTAGCTGCAAATATTTCGTTGTAAATATGTGCTTATAAATGCATAATTCCTGATAATTATTCGGAGAACTAGTTAATGCTCTCAAATCAACGGATTGACTGATTTAATAGCGCAGACAACCCTGAACTCATTATTATCACTATTTATTTTAAAAATATATTTCAATCTGGAATACAATATGCAACAAATGCGATTGTCATTGGTTTGTCTACAAAAATGTTCTCTCTACATGTTCAATAGCCTACACTTGACACGAATGTGTTACATAACATAGTTTCAAATCAATTTAAACTTACCTTGATTCTCATTTAAATACAATCAATCACAGTAATAGTCAGCTCATTTGGTCTCAATTACATAATCCGGTGGGCGAGATTTTTATCCCCGGTTTAGTCCTAAAGCAAGAGAGAGCAATGGTGATCAAACCGCACGAATCGATTCAAACCTGCACGAGGGGGCTGCACTGGGAACACTGAATATTTATGAAGCGCACCTACCATCGCACTGTTGTCAAATGGCACAGGGATGCCTCCCTTTACCAGTGTTTTATAAAGCTACAGGGCTGATTATTATCAGATTGATGGAAAAAAAAAAATACGAGTTTAGGTTATTGCACATTTTTCATATTGATAACATCAATAGTAATTCCGTTTTTTTCACTCTACATTATTGAGGTCAGACCACATTTGTTTTCTCAGTCATCATTCATGCCAACTATTGGTCTATAATAGATATTGATAGGCCCTGTGCACAAAGCATGTTGTGGCCTATCAACCTTCAACATCCTTCCCACCCAACCTAATGGTATTAATATGTTACAATCAAATATATAACCCTAGTGGGACTACTGTATATGTTTATATTCATAGCTGTAGGCAATTGAGTCTCATTGAACCCACAGACAGTCATGATGAACCTTTGTCCTCCCCCCCCATCCCCCAATAACTGAAGGGTTTTATTACTCCTTTGTGGGCTCTTTGAAGATTTTAATGTGAGCACCTACTCATCCATCATTCATTGCATGGTTCAACTAACTCATCTGAACGATCAAGTTAGAGGTTTCTGTTCAGAGTTATTGAGTTTCTAGCATGATCCATTGAGTCACCGACATGCTATTAAAACTCAACAGGGCCAATATGGCACTAAATATGACTTACGGGTTAAAACACATGAGTACTGTAGACCTGGATCAAATGCTTACTGTAAGTCAAATACTTTAAAAAACTGGAGGTGCACTTGATTTAGCTTGCCCGGTAGGCTAGCCTAAAATGAAACCAATGTAATAATCCCAAAAGTGCAAACTCGGCCCACCTTGTATGTTGGTCAAACTAAATAAGTAATGTGCACCTCAAGAGTTTCAGTTATGATTTGTACCTAGGTCTGGAGTACATGTAGGTCACCCAACTCCTGCACAAAAAGGGTACCGAAAGGATTCTTTGGCTGTCCCCAGAGGATAACTATTTTTTTAGGTTCCAAGTAGAACCCTTTTGGGTTCCATCTGGAACCCAAAAGGGTTCTTCAAAGGGTTCTCCTATGAGGACAGCCGAATAACCCTTTTAGGTTCTAGATAGCACCTTTTTTTCAAAGAGTGTAGGGATGGAGTGAATTATCTGTTAAAGGAAAGGAATAGGATGAAAACATCCTTGACCGATGACCATTGAGTAACATCTTGGACCCACTCCAAGTAGCAACCCCACAAGTTCATAGAATAGCAAGCACCAAACCTCATCTGGATGACTGCAATATGAAAGAAACATCACAGCACAGAGACATGTCCGAAAGGGTTTTCATGCAACTCCCGACGACGTAAATCAAAAGTGTCTGAGAAAGAGGGGTTGCTCCAGCTGAAAAGGTTAACAATCTTCCCATGAGATGTACCAGGTTTGGTGCAACAGACCAGAAAGACTACAGATGTTGACACAATGTGTTTTTCTGAAGACGTAATGAAGACACCTAGCGACTTCATCAAGGTCACTCACTATCACAGGAACCCAAGTTCACAAACGTCATGACATGTTGTCAAACACATTCTAAGCTACATTCTGAACTGTTAAAATGCTCACATTACCAACCTATATTGATAATAGGACACAGGTGGTGGTTGCATTAGTAGACTAATATATTTGTCTTTCACAGTACTTAAAATGTCATCCTGAGGAATCGGCCATAAACTTCCGTAGTTCCCTATTTTAAGGGTGCATAGGAGGGTGCTTACTAGCTGGAGGGGGGCAGTGATCTACATCTACACTATGTGACAGGGATCATGCTGCTTCTCCTTCCAGGCACTACTAACCCTGTGTCATGGCACAGTAGACTATAAAGATGTCAAACCGCAGAACATGCCTGTCAAAAAGTTCTGCTTCTGAGAATGTTGAAGGAATGTTCCTTGATAACTGCCTGGCCAGAATTGAAGTCCTGTGTTGCTCAGTTGGTAAGAGCAGGACACTAGCTAAATCCAAGGTTGTGGCTTCTATTCCCACAGGGATTACAAAGGCCTACACTTACTAAAAATGTATGCACTGTACTGTGCTGTAAGTCGATTTGGATGAAAGTGTCTGCTCAGTGGCGTGTGGTGTTATTATTATTCAGTGTAGTGCTGTGAAAGCCATGCACTGTGAATGAGTACTGGGTCGGTGTCTGGGCTCAGTCTGGGTGTCTGGGCCAGGCTGTTAAACCAGCAGAGCCTGGCGGCAGGACCGATGCCAGCCCCGCCTCCACCGGCCAGGGAGTTTGGAGGGCGGCTTCCTGCCGTCTCTCCTGGTGCAGCGACTAAACATGCGACTGAGATAATGAAAGTCAAACAACATTAGACCGTATAGAAAACAACTCCACAGAGGCAGCAGGCTCTGATTGAGAGAATAGGAATCTAACACAGGTTGTCTCTCCATCAGTTGGGAGTTTGCATGGTCTGTCATCCAAGAGGCCAAAACACCAAATAGTGTTGTGACTAGACATGGGGGTGTGCTGTTCAACAGGGTCCAATGGTCCGAGTGTTGCTGCGGATATAAATATGGCAACATTTTAAAGGTTCCATGTTCTATCAGACACATTCTAAAGGTTCCATGTTCTATCGGCAACATTCTAAAGGTCTGTGTTCTATCCGCAACATTCTAAATGTGCCATGTTCTATCTGCAAAATTCTAAAGGTTCCATGTTCTATCTGCAAGATTCTAAATGTTCTAATGAATAAGCCCTTGATAGGACTCGCAGTAGCATCCATGGTATTGCACTAGATAAATTCCACAGAGATCTTCCGCCAAGGCCTGTCATTTAGTGAGATGTGAAGCTGCAGAGAAGCCGGTGTGTGACATTTATGAATTAATTTTTTTACAGCATTTGCCTTGCAGTTTGTGTACAAGCACCACCGAGGCTTGGTTTTAAAACTGTAAAACTAAATTCAGCCGGCCTGAACTCTGGGTGTTCAGTATAATAAAAAAGAAGTGCTCAAAATGTACGGAATGTGACTTCAAAGTGTCACATATATCTGCAGCAGCAGCAGCAAGAAGAACTCAGGAGAGACAGTTTTACGCCCTTGGGTGCTAATACATGAGTGGCCTGAGGGTGTGTAGTTTTCCAGAACCCGCCATACTTGGATCATTTGTTAAACATGTGGCAATTTCAGCTTCAACTCCCTGTGGCAGTTTTCAGCTTCAACTTTGACTAGTTTGAGGGCTTCATGTGGTTGTATCAAACCTTTCAGATGGGTACCTGATAGGCATGATGCTGGGATAGATATGTGAAACTGGGGAAGAGGTGGTTTTAAACATAGTTCATATTGTATGATGGAGAGTCGTTACATTCATGGGAAAGAGCAACATGAAGTTAATAGAAGAAATGTCCACCTTGGTATGTAAACTATTAGCCTTTTTATTTAAAAAAAATAAAAATAAAGAGTTAGTCAGTCTCTCTATCTCTCTCTCTCACAGACTGTCTCTGACTGGGAAAAGCGATATCTAGTAAAAGTGATAGGCTATCAACTTAACAATCATGTGTGTATCTACACTACCGGTCAAAAGTTTTAGAACACCTACTCATTCAAGGGTTTTTCTTTATTTTTACTATTTTCTACGTTGTAGAATAGTAGTGAAGACATCAAAACTATGAAATAACACATATGGAATCATGTAGTAACCAAAAAAGTGTTTAACAAATGAAAATATATTTTATATTTGAGATTCTTCAAATAGCAACCCTTTTCCTTGATGACAGCTTTGCACACTCTTGGCATTCTCTCAACCAGCTTCACCTGGAATGCTTTTCCAACAGTCTTGAAGTAGTTCCCACGTATGCTGAGCACTTGTTGGCTGCTTTTCCTTCACTCTGCGGTCCGACTCATCCTAAACTATCTCTATTTGGTTGAGGTCGGGGGATTGTGGA